GGTGATGTTTTGAATCTGGTGAGTCTATTTGATATTGGATTCACATCATTAAGACTTATCTAACTGTTCAGTGACCCCTAACACCCTCTGGATAGGGAATTGTCTAGCCAATAGGGTGAGGTCTTTTCCAAGCCTGGAAGACACTGCTCCCAACAAGCTATAAATGTTTAATCACAGGATAAAGGTAATCATTCAGAAAAACTTTGCATTCATTTACAGCAACCCTTATGTCTTAAGGCCCAAGTGGACCCAAGGATCAAGGGTTCAGATTTTTCCTTTAGCTAGATACAGAATCACTCATGTGTTACACAATCATAATAGGTCACTTTATCTCAAATCAGCCAATTCTTAAAATCTTTCCTGCTGGTACAAAGTTTCTTAACTTCACAATGAACCAGGCTCTGCAGTTTGAGACGGACATTAAAATGTGTGATAACTTGCTAGTTAAAATATGAAAAAAGTCCAGTGCTCCTGCAAAGTTCCATATTTGATCGCTCATTAATAAAAAAAAATTAAAAAGGCAATTAGTGACAGTTTTTGAATGAATGTAGCTGAATTTTACAATACTGCAAAATAAAGTATGAAGACTTCTTTTTTGCCTGAGACTCTTAGCCACAATTATGAAAAAAAAAACCCTTTTTATTCAGCTTTCATGCTGGATTGACCAAATGTGACAAGGTGTACCACAAAAAGAAAAATATCAGAAGATAGTTTCATCCAATTCAAACAAAAATCTGGAGTTTTCAGATAGTACTTTAATTTATTTTATTTTCAAGATTTTAAGTTACCCAATTGTAGAATATTTACTGTTAAACCTTCCCCAATTTGTATAAAAATGTTATCATTTATAGTGTGGATGTAGAAAGAAAAAAGTAAACTAAAAAAAAAGCAAATTATACAATACAATACAACTTTATTTATAGAGCACATTTAAAAACCAACGGTATGCCGAAGTGCTTCACATAAAAGACAGAAAATAAGACAAAAATATTATAAAAATTAAATATTATTAAATATTATAGGACCATAACCAAGTACCAATTATGCTAACAGGTCAGTGTCACTAATACACAGGAATAGCATAAAATGCTAAAAAATGTTAAAATGACAAAGCCATTAAAAATATGTATAAAAGGTAAAATAGACGAAGTCCAGGGATTAGATACAGGCATTAACTAGCAGGAAAGGCAAGGTTAAATAAATAGGTTTTTAACCGTGATTTAAATGATTGGATAGAATCAGACGCGCGGATAGCAATAGGAAGGTTATTCCATAAATCTGGGGCAGCAAAGGCAATTGCACGGTCACCTCTAGACTTCAGACAAGATTTTGGCTGCACCAGGAGTAACCGAGTAGATGATCTCAGTGCTCGAGCGGGAATGTACAAACTAAGGAGCTTGATAAGGTAGCTCGGGGCTGCCTTGTTGACAATTTTAAAAATAAGCAGCAGTAGTTTAAATTGGATGCGGTATTTAATGGGTAGCCAGTGCAGGTCAGCTAGAACAGGGGTAATAGAGGTATACCTCCCAGTTCCCGTCAGAAGGCGTGCTGACACATTTTGAACAGTTTACAGTCTATGAAGAAGGGCAGAATGAAAACCGAAATAAAGGGAGTTGCAGTAATCCAGCCTAGAGGTCACAAAGGCGTGAATAAGCTTTTCCAGGTCTTTATAGAGAACATAATGCCTAGCCTTGGAAATGACACGCAGTTGGTAGAAACTAGATCTAACTACAGCGGACACTTGTTTATCAAATTTAAAAGAGCTATCCAGCAACACGCCCAAATTGCTAACAGTGTCAGAGAGGGAGTTGGCAAGGGAACCAAAGGCATCACGAAATTGTCTGTGAAGAATATTGCTATCAAATACCATGATTTCAGTTTTCTTATCATTTAAGATAAGAGAGTTTCCTAAGAGCCACTCTTTGACCTCACACATGCACTCTTGAAAGCAGTGCAGAGACGGAGCAGGATCATCAGCAAGTTCAAAGTAGATCTGTCAGCATAACAATGATAAGCAATATTGTATTTCTCAAAGATTGCGCCTATAGGGAGCATATACAGCGAGAATAGAATAGGGCCCAGCACAGATCCTTGAGGCACGCCACAGTAGACAGGTGCAGCGGAGGAAGAGCAGGTGCCCAGGTTGACCGAGAAGGACCTATTGAAGAAGTATGATTTAAACCAATCAAGGGCAACACCTCTAATGCCTACAGTATGCTCAAGCCTCGCTAACAAGATGCTGTGATCCACCATGTCAAAAGCCGAGGATAAATCCAATAGAATTAGGACCGCAGAGCGTCCAGTATCAGCAATTAGAAGAAGATCATTTAGGACTCTAAGCAAAGCTGTTTCAGTGCTGTGACGTGGTTTAAAGGCAGGCTGGAATTTATAAATAATATCATTTGCATCCAAATACGACTGGAGTTGTGAAAGAACTATCCTCTCGAGAATTTTAGACAGGAACAGGAGCTTAGAGATCGGTCTGTAATTAGCATAATCATTATAATCAAGGTTTCTTTTTTTTAAGACTGCAGCTGGACTACAGCATGTTTAAGAGCTGACAGGACACAGCCAGAGAGTAAAGAAGAATTCATTAAAGATAAAATACTGGATCCAATTACGTCGAAGCAGTCCTTGACTAAGGAGTGACACGGGCTCAAACTGATGGAAGGTTGATGAACAACCAGGAGTAGAAACAGGGCTCGACACTAAAGGAAGCGAGGACTTAAGAGAAGAAACTTTATCTAAGAAGTGAATTAAAAATTGTTCACAAAGAGCCGGAGAGCACACCAGCGGCATATCAGGACGGGGATTGACCACAGAATTACAAATTTTAAATAGCGTTCAAAGGTTGTGACCATGAGCCAGGATAATTTTTGATAAGAAAGCCACTTTGGCCATTTTAGCAGCAGTTTGAAATTTCGAGCGGCTGGCACGTAGGATTTCATAGGATACCTGGAGTTTATCTTTTTTCCACCTCCTCTCATCACGGCGGCAGACATTTAACCAGTATTGGGAAAAGGTTCTAGGGTGCTTCAATTTAATGCTTCAATTTAATAGGTGCAACAACGTCAAAGATAGAGGAGCATATGGATACCTGTCACTCAGGTTCCAATATGGATCCGGGCGATGCGAGTAAGAGAATCGGAGATTTAGAAGTGTTTGTCTGTCGTAGGTTATTAGTGCACAACCACCTGCTGAGCATAAAACCAAAAAAAAATAAGGAGTACTATACCAAGGTCCAGTAAGAGGGGTAGGGAAGGTAAAAAGCAAAGGCACAGATGCCGACGAGGACGGCTTGCCATACACACTGGCGCCATCTTTGAAAAAGAAGTCCTGAGAGATTAATTAAACAAAAAACACATTTTTTTTTCAACAAATAACCATTCCAGTGCATGTGATATTGAGTTACTTTTGTTTATGCAGAGAAGTGCTGTGCCGACTTGATGTCAATAGCCAAAGAGGCTAGGAAGCACAAACTGGGACCCTTGCATCCATCTTTCAAACTGCTTCAGAGAGTGCAGGACACTCTGCTGAAGCATCTACCAGAAGATGCCCATGTTCGAGCCTCTGGGAAGCTCAGTGTGTCCCTGACCAGAGTGTCTGATGTGAAGAACGTACTAGTGTCAGAGTTTGACAGCAGAGAAGAACTCATTCAGGTATATTTTACAGCTTGGAGCCATTTTCATCCA